ACAACCTCTTTTTGTCATTTTCTGAACTTTTTCTGAATATCTTTACTTGACTCCAAAAAGGCTTTAATAGACCGTTTTTAGCTCATTTTAACTTTATTGCCCTGAAATACACATAAACATAAATTAGGATTAAAACATGAAATTAAGATAGATGCAAAGACTGAAATACCCTAACTTAGGTGCTGAAATGTGCAACATTTAAGCACTTATCAACATGTATAAATGATGTAATTAAGATTTAGTTTAATTCCTGGAGTCTTCCTAAGCATGCATAGAACATAAATTAAAGGGATAGAATAGAACAGAACTTGCTTTTGAGACTTTGGATACAAAATCTCTAACTATTGCCTCTATCTTCTCCGGCCACGTTGGTTGTGTTAAACAGCCCTTGTTGCTCCTATTACAGTCCAGTAGCACACACCAAACTTCCCTCCTTGATTCTGTTTTGTGAATCACCCAAGTTCACTCTCCAGTTCTCTCTCTGTTTCCCCTCTGAATCTTACAGTCTCTATTTTTTTTACAGAACTTACGTTTATTTTACTAACCCTAAACCACTGTATTGCATATATTTATAAGTGTATTTTAATAACCCTAATCTATGAATAATTAGACTAAGCCCTAACTCCAATCCTAGTCGGCCCATGAAACTATCTATGTTTCCCTATGGCAGCTTACCTATACGTAAATTATAATCCAAAGTTAACTGTAACCTAAAAATATTCAATAATTAAATCAATGCAATAATTTAAAATCCAATTAATGAAAATAAAATTCAATTAATGAAAATACATAATTAAAACCCAATTAAATAATTAAATACACTTAGACAATTAATTCCAATTAAATAATTAAAAATAACTCAATTAATTCAATTTAATCACCACAATTAAACAATTAATCAAATAAAAATGCAATTAAATCAAAAATTAAATATCAGAAACATCCTTTTAATATTAGGGGTATTACACCTTATAGGCCTTAAGGATTATTTTTGGGTAAGGGGAAACAATGTACTAAAGATTGAGTTTTGCTTTTTTGCAATTTTGGTCATGGTTATTATTCATCCACTTTTTTTTTACAACCGAATCGACCATTCGGGGACATTTTGCGATCATTTGGGTGTATTTGAACACCGCATATTCAATTTTGAATTTGGAAAACCTTTTCGGGATCCTACTTCCAGTCCTTGGGCAGAATATGCAGTTATTGTTCATGCGTTGGACATATTTTTCACCCAAACTTACAATAGTCATATCTCCCTCATTCCATATCCAAATTAAGTCATTCTTGAGTCTAAATTCAAAGATTTTGAGTTAGATTTCCAATGGTATCAATATTATTATCATATTCTATTCCTACTGAGAGATATGATCATTTTAGTGGGACAGTGTCGAAAAATCACTTGACCGAGAGAAAGTATTTTTGGGAAACCATGACTAAAGGTCTTAGAACCTCTTGGGATGTTATGAATTAATTAGATTGAATTTAATACACTTCATTTGACTTGTTTTGAGTCAAATTTCTCCACCATTAGGTAAAATGACAATTTTGCCCCTAGTTCATATTTTGTCCATTTTGACTTTAGCCTCCGCATTCGTTTTGTACTTGAGTCTCGTGACTTTTTAGGAGGTCACTTTGTTGTCTTGGAGGTAGTGTCTGTCTCTAAAGAACTCTTCTCTTTTCTTGCTTCTGCGTTTTGGGGTCGATATGGGATCAGTTTTCGGGTTACTCGTTAACATACCGAGTTATGGAAATTCTGGAAGATACAATTTACTTGTAGCATAAATTGCATCAAGGTGATTAGATAGAGGACATTGAACCAAGGTGATTAGATGGAGGGCTTTGATCCTATCTTCTTTTTCTACTATTCACTTCCACACATTCGAGTGCTATTCTAAATGTTTTAAGAAGTTTCTACTTCCTTTTGAATATAAAATTTATTTGATCCTAGAGAAAATAAAACCCTAAAAACATATTAGAACGTGTTTAACTCTTGCGTTCCTATAAAATTCTTATATATATATATATATATATATTTATTTATTTATTTATTTATTTATTTCCTTAAAAAAAAGTGTTTACTTTTGTCATTTCACTTTAATAGTATTTAATGGTAATAGAAAAAATGGATAAGTTTTCTAAAACAATTGAAAAAAAAAAGGCTTATTAAATAATTACAGTTGGATTAGATCCTAAATACTCTCTCACAGGGAGTAGTTGAACAAGAAAATTTTACTATTACCATGGAACAAGAAAATTAATTCACACTTTTATATAAACCGTTAGATTAAATCTAACGGTCATTTTTCAAACCCACCTACAGTATTTTTTTTTAACACAAAACCACTCTCACCTTATTTTTAGTTTCTAGATTTAATTTTACTATTACCACCTATTAACAATAAAAGGTAATTATCAAAATAAAAATAGAAACCTTTGAAAAAAAATAATACCAGTACATTTTACTTAAAAAATTATTTTTATTTAGATGTTTCTTTAAAAGAAAAACAATACTCGTATCTTTCAATTTTGCAACAACAGTATGATATTATAGCCTTTTCCTAAAAAAATCTTATTGTTCTCAATATAAGTAAATTAATATACTTCACTAGTATAAGTAAATTTACCAACAAATATACTATAATATTGCATTTTGGAATATCGAGTTGATTTATTGGACTTGAAATTGAAGAAAATTTCATTTAAAGTTTGAACAAAAATTCTTTCTATTTCAATTTGAAGTTGGGCATTTGGTGAAATTCATTATTGAATCTGTGAATTTGTGAGTTTGATTATTGGATGATGATGATGTACTGACTATGGTGGGACTGTAGAATCTACCTCAGAAATAACAAGGTAACCCAAAAAAAATTGGTGAAACTCTTCTTACTACCTTATCCATGGAGAGTAATCATTTGTCCACACTTTTGTCCATGGATTCAAATTCAACGTACGAAGAAATGGAGAGAGAGTTGATAATTACTTTTTATTGTTACGTAAGTGGTAATGGTAAAATTAAATATAGAAACTAAAAATAGGGTGAGAATTGTTTTGTGATGAAAGGAAAGGCCAAAGGTGGGTTTGAAAAATGACCGTTAGATTTAATCCAACGGTCTATATAGAAAGTGTGGATTAATTTTCTTGCTCCACAGGACTCTCTCTCTCTCTCTCTCTCTATATATATATATATATATATATATATGGGATAATTCTATAAAAATGGAATTTTGTAGGTCAAAGGCCAAAAAGGTGGAGTGAAACTTTCATTTTCCAAATAAATAGAGTTTTATGAAATGCTGAGGTGGACATGGAAACTTATTGCGAAAAGACCCAACTACCTTTTCTCTCTCTTCATATCTCTTTGTGATTGCCTGCTCTTTCTGTCAAAGCTTCCTTTGCCTGTCTTTATAAATCTCTTCATATCTGAAAATTTGTGATGAACTGAGTTAAGTGCAACAATGATGGCAATGATGGAGTGTTCTTACCGACGACAAGCAAGGATTACAAGCAACGATAAGGGTTGTACTATTTGTTAAGTTTAGAGATGATCATATACCATAGAAACAGCTTTTCTATAAATGTTTGTTTTTATCAGTAAATTACAAACATAAACAGTGTTGTTACTATCTATTAAATTTCCAACCCCTCACCTTCTTTGCATTTTCAACACCAGTGGTGTGTGTTTCTTGGAGATCTGATGACCAAATCAAATTATGATAAATGAATTACAGAATTCAATTAAAAATCAACAAAATCAAATCCATATACTGTATATATGGCAGTCCATAAATATTGTTCGTACAATAATAAGATATGTATAAATAAAAAGGTGAAACAACTAATCGAGAGAGATTGTACGGTGCATTCATCTTCTCCAATCGAGAGAGATGGGAGTACTATACACACTGCCCACCAACTTAACTATTGCAAACATATCAAAAACACATGGCGCGTCCCTCTCTCCATCACCGTCCCTAACAACATCTCATGCGACCACACCCACGTTGTTGGACCCAACCATATTGCTCCGCCGTCGTCCAGACCAGGCTCAAACTCGCGTCTCACTGGTAAGTTCAATCCTTGCTTGTAGCCGGTAAGAACACTCCATCATCGCCATCATCGTTGATCTTGACTCAGTTCATCATAAACTTTCAGGTATGAAGAGATTTATAAAGACAAGCAAAAGAAGCTTTGACTGAAAGAGCAGACAATCACAAAGAGATATGAAGAGAGAGAAAGGGTAGTTGGGTTATTTCGCAATTAGTTTCCATGTCCACCTCATCATTTCATAAAACTTCATTTATTTGGAAAATAGAAGTTTGACTCCATTTTTTTGGCATTTGACCTACAAAACTCTATTTTTATATAATTCTCCCTATAAATATATGAATTTTAACATGGTCATGAAACATCATTCAGTGTTCCAACAATTTGTAAACTATGATGTCTCATATTAATTTGTCTGTCAAAATACTAACCCAACCCTTCTTTATTCCAACATGTGACAACTAATGAAAATATAAGACATTAAAAATCAATACAGGCAAAATTGAGATTTTCAAGAGAATACAAAAGAAGATCAACAGGTACATGAATGTCTGTCAAAGCTGAAGAAGCCTGTCAAAGCTGAGGCACTGCTTTGCTTTTTTACACTTGCATACATACAAATATATATATATATATATATATGCATGCTGTAAATAAGAGGCCAGTCTCGAAACCTTTTTAACGAACTGATTGGATTTCAACTATTTTCACACAGAGCTCGTTCGATTTCAACTATATAGTTACACGGTCCCAGATCAATAGAACAGTTGAAGCTTACGTACACATTTATATATTGATAAATAATCATGGACTTTATATTATATACTAGGGAACAACAGCTACCTCGCCAGCTACATATCAATGCACTACAGTCACATGTATGTACTTGTGTATATATATATATAGAGGGAGAGAGTAGTTTAATTTGAAGTTAATGTAATTGTTTGTAACAAATGGACCCTGATGCCTTCTCAGCGAGCTTATTCAAGTGGGACCCAAGAGGGGCTTTAGCACAGCCCAACCGGCTGCTAGAAGCGGTGGCACCACCGCCACTGCCGCCACCAGCGACATACTCTGTCCGGCCGAGGGAGCTGCTGGGAGGACTTGAGGAGCTATTCCAAGCTTATGGTATCAGATATTACACAGCGGCAAAGATAGCTGAGCTTGGTTTCACAGCCAGCACTCTGTTGGACATGAAGGACGAGGAGCTGGATGACATGATGAACAGTGTCTCTCAGATTTTCCGGATGGAGCTCCTCGTCGGTGAGAGGTACGGTATCAAAGCTGCTGTTAGGGCCGAGCGCCGCCGCCTCGATGAGGAGGAAGCACGGCGGCGCCACCACCTCTCTGCTGACACCACCAACGCCCTTGATGCACTCTCTCAGGAAGGTAGTATATCTTAGGCACATCCAACAAATTTTTTAATTCTTTTTTTATTTTTTTTTTATTGATCAAGCAAACACACTATTTTACCGGTTAATAGGTCTAGTGATAGTCATTTAAAATCACTTTTTATAATACTAGCAGGATCCATCAATATCATGTTCATAACAGTGACAGTGATAGTCATGAGAATGGGGTATAGCCGTATAGGATATATATATATATATATATATTGCATGTGTATAAATTAGTAAATAACTATTTTATGAATATGGGGCACAGGGCTGTCAGAGGAACGAGTGCAGCAGGAGAAGGAAGCGGCGGGAAGTGGCGGTGGAGGGACATGGGAGGTGGTGGGAGGGGGTGGCAAGAAGCAGAGACGGCGGAGGAAGGCAGAGATGAGAATGACATCGTTAGAGGATGATAATGAGGATGAGGCTGAGGAGGATGGCAACACGGTCGGTGGCGGTGGCAGTGAGAGGCAGCGAGAGCACCCATTCATCGTCACAGAGCCCGGTGAGGTGGCGCGTGGGAAGAAGAACGGCCTTGATTACCTCTTCCACCTCTATGAGCAGTGCCGTGATTTCTTGATCCAAGTCCAGAACATAGCCAAGGAACGAGGTGAAAAATGTCCCACCAAGGTAATATATCATGCAACACAATCTTATTACAACTAATTTATGTTTCAACACCTTCATCGTGTGGGGCTGAGTGAAAATTGATTGAGCAAAAATATTCACTATCGGAAAGGTCAGGTGTTCAATCTTAGTGAAAATTGATTGAGCAAAAGTATTCATTATCGGAAAGGTCGGGTTCAATCCACAGTAAAAATATGTGTGCGTGCATATATTCGACATATATCTAATAATAAATATTCATTGAACCAGAATATTATAAACCTCAATAATTTTTCTAATTTGTCACACCTTAATAGTGTATAATAATAAATATTTATTGAATGAGTAGGGTGACTTTTGAGTTGAGGTGGAGAGGACTAAGGATCATATGTTGTGATATTAAACAATTTTATTAGGGCAAAATTGGTGTTATAATTTTATTATTTTGCCAAGTTATAAAACAATTTTATAAGGGCAAAATTGGTATTATTGTTTTGCTATATCATTTTGGCAAGTTACGTATTTGACTTTTTAAAAAATATAATTTTTATTTGACTTAAAATCACATTCACATCATCATCATACGCACGAAATGCTCATGTCCTTGATATTTGGCGGGAAGTGCAACCAGCTGGCTCCACTGAGAACTTGACAACTCATGTACGAACTGGTCTGCCTGTCTTGTAGCATCGATAGCCATGAAGAGAACTTAAATATCCTACTTTGACTGCATGCCACATCGTACAATAAGGTGGCATGTTCAGCTTGTGACACTTCACATCTCAAATGGAAGATGTCCAAAAGAGTATTTATATATATTCGTTATTTTACATACTCCAACATACATACATACATACATACATACATATATATATATATGTGTGTGTGTGTGTGTGTGTGGGAGGAGAAATAATTGGGGAAGAGCCTATTTCATTTTGAGCTGTCCATCAACACTTAATTTTACCATAAACTCATGCCTAACTTCCAAAAAGAAAAAAAAGAAAAAAAAATCTCATACTTTGCAGTTTGAACCCTTAATTCTTTATTTTGAAAGGTGAAGTACACCAAATTATAAATCTTGCTGAGAAAATTGTTGGTTCGAAAATGACCTTGGTTTTTTTTCTTTTTTTTTCCTTTTTTTAAGGTAATAACACTTAAATTATTAACTATGGTTGAAACAAAAAGATGAGAAAAATATTGTTACTCCGTATTATTTATTTCCTCCCTCTGTCCTATAAGTCCCTTTTTGTATATCTAATTTTTTTAAGAAGATGACTTTTACGTTATAACTGTATGATAGCATTAAATCGGCGTTTTGAATTTGAAATTGAAAAAAATATAATACAAATTTTTATCTAAATTTTTTTCGAATCTCATATCTAAGGCACTGGTATTTCTAAGGTATTTCTAATGGTAATGAATGAATTATCAAATTTACCCATAATGGGTTCTAATAATGTAATAGTTTAGGTTTTTATAAATTCAATACAAGAAAGTTAATATGATAATATACAAAAAATAATACATAAACTTTTCAATTTGGAAGGCTAAAAATACTTTTGTAGGACGTAGGAAATATTTATTATTATTACTATATTTTTTATAATCTCCAATTAAGAAATGAACCTTGATTATTTATCATCTCTCTTTTATTTTCAATGTCAATATTTTATCAAGCTATTACAATTTGAGGGAGACAAACTTGTTTTTGGTTCTTCTCTTGATTCGACGTATTGGTCAATAGACATATTTACAGGTTCGTAACATTTTTTTAATTGTCTGATATCATTACAAAGCTTTATAAATTGATCCGTTTAAATCGATATTCGTTCTTCGGTCAATTTGCACTAATATTTGTTTGAATTTGTTACACCGTAATTAATACCGTGATTACGAATCATGATTATTCCAATACTAAAATTGGTTCATTGGGTTGGCCACAAGTTGTCACCCAAAGGATTGGGACAACCCTCCACTAAAAAATAATGATAATAATAAATAAAATAAAATAAAGTGGTCCTTCCTTATTCCATGTGTTTGTGTGCATTCAGGTGACAAACCAGGTGTTTAGGTACGCCAAGAAAGCTGGTGCAAGCTACATTAACAAGCCAAAGATGCGACACTACGTCCACTGCTACGCGCTGCACTGCCTCGACGAGGATGCGTCCAACGCGTTGAGGAGAGCTTTCAAGGAAAGAGGAGAGAACGTCGGGGCGTGGAGGCAGGCGTGTTACAAGCCCCTCGTGGCCATAGCTGCACGACAAGGATGGGACATTGACGCCATCTTCACCGCCCATCCCCGTCTTTCCATCTGGTACGTGCCCACCAAACTCCGCCAGCTCTGCCACACCGAACGCAGCAGCTCCGCAGCTTCAAGCTCCGTGGCCCCCCGTGGTGGCGACCTACTGCACTTCTAGGGATTTGTTTTCTGGCATCACAATTTAATTAGAAGTATGTTTCCTGTAATGAATGACTAACTAAACCTTTTTTATGAGGCTTGAGGCCTTGTTGAAGCTTACTATGTTATGTAGTTCTCTATGTGACACTCTCTGGAAACCCAACTTGGTATATGATGGATGGATCCGAGTTAACACTGGTGATTATTTTCTTACACTCTTGCTTTTACTGGATAACTCTGCTTAGGAAGTTTAATACGTAATTTGTTTTAATTTTAGACAATTACACCAACAACTTCTAAAGTTTGCTCTAATTATACTCGATGATCCAAAATAAGTCTAATTACACCGGTTTCCCGTGGTATGACGTGACATTTCAAATGTCGGCAAGACAGCCTACAGTCAAGTAAAATTTCTTTAAAGCACCAATTTTGCCACACTGTGTGTCTGTAAGGCAAGGTTGTAAAAATCGGAATTCTAAGCAGAATCGTTTTAGGTTCTATAGAATCGGAATCGTAGAATCGGATCGTGAATCGTAAGATTCTACCAAATTGTGAAAAAATAATTGAAACTAATTTTTTAAACAATAATATCGGTAAAATATAACCAAAATAAGGTCAAAACACACAATATTTGTGATATACTAATAATATATGCTGACACACATACATACTAGTACTATTTTTTTATTATTATTGCAGTTTTTAATTAGGTAATTATCACGTGACGAATATATGATGTATACAAAAGGAATATAAACTTATTTAATTAAAAGCTAAAAACAGAAAATAAATTTATATCTACATCATACCTATCTTAAGTTTCTATTAGTGTTTGATCATTCTGACAAAGGAGAAAGAATGGAGAACTTTAGGTTCAATTAAATTAGAGTTCATGATTGCTAAAAATAAGCAAGTGATTTTTTTGGGAAATGTATATATATGCCGACTTTTTAATTGTTTAAATTTTTCGATAAAAGTAAATGATATGTATATACAAACATTGTGACGACCCTGGTTTTTAGGCCAGCGTGTCCTGTGATGAACCATAAGGATGATCCGATAACGAATCCGAAATGCGGAAGCGAAAACAGAAAATAAGACTCTAAGAAGTCAAAGTGACCTTCCATGAGGTCGTGGAACTCAATGAGAATTGATCCGGAAGCAAAAGATCAAAAATATGACAAATAAGCCCCCAGGGGCAAAACAGTCATTTCTGAAAATTGTAGATTCGGGTGCCACTGAGTACGCCGCTAGAAGGACAACAAATAAATAATCAAGATGGACTCAAGAATCGCATGATTCGGAGTCCGGACGAAGGAAAAACGGCATGACGAAAAAAAACGAGCACTTAAGGCAAAAATGGTAAACTGGTAATTATCCAGGAAGAACCGGGTGCAACTGAGCACACCGTTGGAAAGACAACGAAAAATTAGTCAAGTTAAAAAAAAATTCACTTGAATCGAAATCCGGACGAAGGAGAAAAGCCCAAAAGAAGAATTGACGTCGCGGCGGCCCGACGAGGGGCCATGACGGCCCCATGCGCACGCCCATGAGCGCGCCCATGCACGCCGCGCGCGCGCTGGGTGCACCATGGCTGGCAGCAGCAGCCCATAAAGCTGCTGTGGGGTTATTTTTCAGAAAAATCCAGAACAGAGGCTGAATATGGAGGCCTAGATGAATTTTTTTACAAAAACACAAAGAAGAAACACCCCTCAAAATTGAGTTTTCTACATGACACGCGAGAGAATTAAAAAAAAACGCAATGTAAAATGCTTAAAATGCACTCCCAAGAAATCTGGTCCAGAGGGTCGAAAAAGCTGCTAAATAGAAAACTGAAAGCTGAACTTCGTAAGCAATTTCCGATGCCAAGACGATATTTTCTGGAAAAACACGGAAAGGAAACACCTCCCATAAAATCATGTTTTCTATTCAACCATATTGAAAGAAGAAAATAAAACCGAATTGAAAAGTCTATAATGCCCCTAGATCAGAATATGCAAAAAAAAAAATGCGAAATGAATTCACAAGAGGCTCAAAACACAAACGATAAGGTTTTGCCCAGAAACGACCATGCACGCAAACGTAACTTACCTATTTGGACGTGCTACAATGATCCATGGCTTAAAAACATAGCCGATACAAAATCCGACCCCCCAACGAGCAAAAAGGCAAAAATGGACTTGGAATGGAAAACATGGAATCCAAAAATATAAAACGGGATCAAATGACCATTTGGCCCTTAAGTTAAAAAGTACATAAAACACAATATACATGTCATTGGTCTCCGGTCTCATCTCATACATATCAATTACATTGAAAGAAGTGTACTTAAGTACACATTACATACATGGAATCAAATATACATATTTTGACATATAAGTCTACAAAATGACATTTCATGCTAACATTTGCATGAAATGGAAACTTGAAAGCTACACGACATCCAAGAAATGCTAGGCTTCACGAACCAAGTCTTCGTACCTGAAATATGCCCCAGTATCGTAGAGGTGAGTAACATAAAGCTACTCGTAGGAGATGAGCATGCATCGACCTAGCATTTTACAAATTTATCATCTTAAGGTGAAACATGTTAAAATGGCTCATACCACCTAATGTCTATGTCCAAGTGAGACTCGGGGAGCATCTTAAGCTACCTTAGAGTCTAAGCAACAAGAATCATGATATATATACGTGTATGAAACGAATCATAGTGGGATAATCCAAAGAACACGACAAGAAGAATGCTTGAGCATAGATTAACATGAATTGCATTTTCAATACAATTAAACTAGGTCTAGAGTAATCCATACAACATGACAAAAGTATATTTGAATACAAGTTAACAAGAATCACATTATTCATGCAATTCAACAACAAAAGAGCATGTTATACAATGCAACAAGGTTTAAGTTCTCAAAGCCATCAACTTAGAATTTAAAGCACAAAATAACAGTAGTGGTTCATGCCACCTAACGTTTATGTTATAAATGAATCAATAGGATCAATCATAAGCTTTATTAGAACGTCAAAACACGATTTTCAATATCGATGCAATTTAACCAACATTGGAACTTCCAATACAACGCATAAAGCACAATTTCGCAAAGTTAACATCCTGTAACTTAAAATAGAACGACAAATAAGAAACAACAAGTTACAACATCATCTAGTTATCAACTTGAAAATGAAATGCGAAATCAAACGAAGTGGATATTCGGACGTCACGCCGGATCAGACCGACAACATTGTTACTTTAGGGTTACTAGCCCATGGGTAACCTCCCTATGTGCGCACTAGACTATATAGAGGGACTATCCCCCGTACTAGAATCACATCCTAACCATAGTCAAACAACGACATCCCCAAATTTTCAAAATCAACAAGTTGTGCAACAATGTATATATCAACAGGAATATGAAAATAATCAACTATCTACCCAGCACAACCAAATTTGGAAACCTATACAATACATGCTCTAAATTCACAACTAATATGATGTGATGAATGTCGAATCTTCAGTGTGCGATTCGTTACACGCTATGCATGAATGATGTTAAATACGAAATGTGCAAATCATTACACAAGGTAACAATATAATCAATCAGGAAAAAATATTCTCATGAGTATAAACATAGCAACTATGTTATTCAATGCTCAAAACAAAACCAAATGAATATGCAACAAGTCTATGTCCAGGATTTTGATATAGAAACGACTTTCAAACACAATTAAATCCATGGCTCAATTCGATAGAATTTAATTAAATAAAAATATTTAAATTCCTTAGATTCTAATTCAATTCCAAATAACCTCAAATTAATACATATTAAAGAATATGGCATAGTCATCACCTATATCCATTTTAAAACTTAATTAGGTTATTGGAACAACAAAGTAGAACTCTAATTAAATCATGCTAATTTAATTACCAAGATTCTAAAGCAACTTTAAATGTCCACAATTAATATATACTAGTAAACAAGTCATGGCCAATACAAATATCAAGTTAAAATCTTAATTAAGCTAATGGGACCACAAAATAGATTTTAATTAATTCTTTTAATTAAAATCTCTAGATTTTCAAACTTAACCAAATGCTCTCAAATTAACCTATGTTGGAAAATATGCCAAGAACTAATGTAATATCATATTGCAAGTTTATTTCATTCAATTTAAGACCATGTGAATTAAACTTTCACTAAAATTAAATATAAATTAAAAGTTGCAATTCTCATGTAATTAATCCCAATTTAATATATGTGAACAACTATACCTAAGCTTAATTTTTTAGCATGCCACAATATAATTCCAAGTTGTATATCACCATGACGATTAAATCTTAAATATGGAATTTAATTAAATAAAAGATTTCAAAACCTAACCGAATATTATAAATTAAATATATGTGAAGCTATATGGCATGTAAATCAAGAATATCAAGTCGGAATTCAAATAGAGTGAATAGTGCAATCGGAGCAAATTAATTAATCAAATTAATTAATAATTACTAATTTTCAAAACAACTCCAATCACTTTCAAATTCAACTATGTTGGAGAGCATGCTAAGGCCTAATTTAATATGCTAACACAATACAATTCCAAGTTGTATATCACCATGACGATTAAATCTTAAACATGGAATTTAATTAAATAAAATGTTTCAAAACCTAACCGAATATTATAAATCAAATATATGTGAAGCTATATGGCATGTAAATTAAGAATATCAAGTCGGAATTCAAATAGAGTGAATAGTGCACTCAGGGCAAATTAATTAATCAAATTAATTAATAATTACTAATTTTCAAAACACCTCCAATCACTTTCAAATTCAACTATGTTGGAGAGCATGCTAAGGCCTAATTTAATATGCTAACACATATTAATTTTAAACTAGTTAAGGCCATGTGAATTAATCTTTCACCTAAGATAAATATTAAATAAAATCTTTAATACTTGTTCAAATTCCCTCAATTTAATATATGTCACTGACCATATTATAGAGTATTATATTACCAT